CAGAGTTAGTTATTCAGAAATCAGAGGATATTCCCTATGATATTACACCTGTAGGCCAGCTATATAAGGCCATCATCACATAAAGAAAGCAATGAATGATTCTCCCTTAGTTTTCCTCTCCCTAATTCCAGTTTCTTCCTTCCCTCCCTTCTCTCTTTTCTCTCCATTTTCTGTTTCAGGAGGTCAAGCCTCCCTCGAAGAGGTTTCCGAGGTGAGCGGAAACTCACCATAGCCCAAAAACACCATCAGCAGTTCTTCATGATACCTTCCATAACATTAACAAACAAGCAACAACAACAACAACAATAATAATTAGAGATGCAATTTGGGGTACCCCATTTGAAGAATTTACACAGCATGGGCCAGGCCCCTTGGAATTTTAACAAATGCTCAGCCCAAGCTCGCCCAAGTTGCACATCTAAAAGTAATAGCATAAAAATACCCTTCATAGAAATCACTGCAATTGCTCTCCCTTTTCTCACTTCCTTTGATTTTTCCAATGTGTGAATTTTTTCTATTAGTTACTCCTTGAAATTTTATCAAATAGACAATCATTGCATCACAAGATACTGTGAAAGGATAAAGCACTCACTTCCAAGTAGAATATAAAGCAGGATTATTTTGACAATCAGTATTGAGTTTTGGTAAAATCACCAGTTGCTTCTTTTCTTCAGCACCAGGGTTCTTTGGTCCAGCATCTGTATGGAAAACACCACCTACTAAAAACACTTCTTTGACATTTAATATTACTAAGATCAAAAGAAAATATTACCAAGGCCAAATGTAGCTTCTCTTAGTCATTCAAAAGTTTCATTAATGTATGATCATGGATGAAGAAAAACAAGGACCCATAGCAAAAAATAAATTTTATAGTTCAATGCCCTCTATACCTAACATTTAACCATTAAGAGCTAGAAGCAATTCCATCAATAGCTACCAATGGACTTGGAAAGGCACATCAAAGGTATTTCCAAAAAAAACACACACTCTAATTACATAGTGCAACACGTGTTCATTATTCAAGGCATGATACTACTTAAAAACCACTATAATATCATTTTTAATACCCTATAATAAAATTTCTAGATTATAACAAAGCAACAAAAAAATCACAGAAATCAGAAGCAATGAAACATGTTAATGCCAATTAAATATCATCTCTCCTACCTGCATCAGTCATCTTGACCTTTTTGCTTGGAATGCATCCCTTGGCATCAGATTCCAGAGAGACCATGTAAGGGTTCAATCGACAAGTCTCACAAAACCACATAACTGGAAGAGCTCTCAAGTTGTTTCGCATACAATAGCTGGAAATGAAAAGAAAAAATGAAAACATGAAAGAAAAGGCAGTAGTGAAATGTATAGTTAACAGGAAGACTTGTCTCAGAAACATCAATACAAGCGGTGTATGCAGATTGCAGACATGGGAAACAACCATAGGTTGGGTCCACCAAAAAACAAAGTAAATGGATGACCCCAATCCCTAGCAAATCAATTTACCTACTCATTTCGATTTTTGTTTTGTTTGACTGCAAGAGAATGTGATAAAGATGTCTATGAAAATCTCATAGCATGCATAGCTCAATTTTAACTTAGCATGTGATATTGAGCTAAGAGGCTATTATTTGTGGTCTCTTGGTAACATTTCAGGGCAACAAACATGAGAAAGTGGATTTGAGTCTGAGAGAAGTCACATTGTGCTAAAAAAATGCCAAAGGTAAGATCCTAAGATCCAGTCCTGACCTCCCAAGACCCCAGATGGCTAGGACCAACTTTTGATAATCACCTTTTTATGTCATATAGAGCTCATAGCTCAAACATTCCACAAGTTACAAACCCTTTGAGGCTTTAAGTGCATGGTTAAAGATGATGGTAAAAGGAAAAGCACTCCCATTTTGTGCTCATAACATAGCACACACCACATAGATGATACGTTACTGAAGAAATTAAGAAATAACAAACTGAAAATGTACAACTGGTAGAAAAGAGTACAGTGAGTTCACCCATACATATGCTCATGAGCAACATTACACTTGGTACAAGTGGCAAGAGACTCGATGTAGCCAATACTTCCACATATATCACATGGTTTATCCTGCACAATAAAGATCTAATATAAGAAATTCTATATCTATTATCTTTTCAGAGAAATAATGAGTGTTGATTAATTGAAGTAGAAAAGAAATTGTTTTTGTATTACAATCTGTTGAGTTTGTTTTTGTATTATTTATGTTGGGCCGATTTATGTTTAGTTTGTTTTCTTTTAAATTAAGAAGTTGTTGGGCCTTGGGCCCATTAGTCTTTTATTTTTAAAAGAATTGTAAGTACTTAGTTGAGTTGCCGCCCTACTAGGGGCATCTTTGTAATATCCCATATTTAAGTTAATTATAAATAGAATGAGGGGCTAGCGGCTAGGGTTATGCATCACTATCCTAGTCGACCTTCTCCTTTTCTTCCCTTCCTCTGTCTATTGCTGAAACCCCCAACTTTCTCCTCTTCCTTTCACAAGAAGCTTGGCCGAAATCAGCACATAAGGCTTTCTACTCATTCTATAACCAATAGGTAACTTTTTAGTCATCATTAAATTTGTTTATGTAGCTAAATCTTTCATGGAAGCGCATGGCATTGAGGACCAGTCACATTGTGGTGTAACTAAGCGTATACAAGTAATTTCTCAAAGCATTTTTCACTCACTACTTGACTTTGTACAGAATAAATCACAAAAGAAAGCAGAAGGGAAGTTCTTCTGATCTTCACTCCAAATTAACATAGCAAGCCACTATATGATTAACAAGATTTTAAGACAGAATAACTGCATAAATGAGTAAGACTTAGTTTTTGAAGGTGTCTGAAAAAGGAAAGGAAAGGAAAAGAAAGGGAAGGGAAAGAAAAAGAAAGAAAGAAAGAGAAGAAATAAAAAAAGAGGAAAGGAGTGGGAAGGGAAGAAAAATATAAGGGGAAAGAAAGTGGTCTGCCCTCGGCCCCTTCGACTGGGGGGCTTCACCCCCAAGACCCCCCCCCTTTCAACTAGTACTATGCATCTTTATTCTTCTTAATATAAAAGATTTTTATTAAAAATAAAGAAAAAATGAGATCCCCCCTTCCTCTTCTTCCTCCTGACCCCCCCTCCTCTTAAGGAGGCTTACGCCCCTTACGTTCTGTCATGCCTCCACGTTTTAAAACATTGATCTGATTCATCACCTATTTGAAAATAAAAGATGTTAGGACATAATCACCCTCAGTCTATTGTAATCTAAATTGCAGTCTTGTCAAGTATAACTTTGTACAAGAACAAGGATTCTTCTTTAGAGACAAAGGTTGCTTAAGGGGGAATAAGGTCAGCCAAAGACATTTTGTTTTACCCAAAAAAGTTGATACTTCAGCTTCAAATGGCACTTGTGTGTGTTGGGTATATGCATTTTTTCATCCAATTGATCTGAGGAATATAGTCCTCCCAGTTGAATTGCAAGGCCAGCAATAGAATATAGTCCTCCCGTTGGTCTGTATCTTATGAATCTATACTCAAACAATAATGAGAGAAATATTATAGTCATTATATCTAATCTACATAAAATGATTATAAGAAGTCAATACCACTTTCTAGAAAATTTTCACTATTTTGGTTGTGAAGTTTTTTTTTATAAATGAGAATTTTTATTAGAAAGTGGAGAAAAACAGATGCAAGTATCCATGGAGAGGCACGAGCTGCGACCTCTCCAAGCAATCAAAACCAAAAACAGATTACAATTGTTCCCTGTTTGCCCTTTGCTTGGCTAAATTATCAGCCATAGCATTAGCTTATCTCCCCACCCATTGTATTCTGACACACATATTTCTTGTCAACCACTTGAATTTTTTAAGTTCATTCTTAAAGCACCAAACCATAGTCTCTAGGTTCTGTAACCACCCCACAATTACCTTGGAGTCACCCTCTATTAGTAGTTGTTACACTCCTAGCTGTACTGCAAACTGTACTGCTTGAAGAGCAGCTAGTAATTCAGCCCTAGTGGAGTCCCCCACACCTAAAGGGCCTGAGTATAAGAGAGCCACATTACCACTTTCATTCCTTATAACTCCACCAATCCTGGAGGGACCTGGGTTACCTTGACCACTGCCATCAAAATTTGGTTTTATAAAGCCTTCAGGAGGGGGTGCCCAACTCATATACACCTTACTCTTCCGAAAGGAGGTGCTTGCTATTGCTGTCCAATGCCTCCATAGATCATTAAAAGAAAACTGGTGAAATAAGTCCGAAGATTTCAGCCACAAGATAGTCTTATACAAGATACACTCCTTTGGTTGTGAAGTTTCCAAATAATTTGTCTTTTAACAACCACAAATGACAAAAGTATCATTAAAACCCTTTAACATCTCCCATTTTATGATGGATAACAAATGATTTCAGCTGCTAAACACATGGAAAGAAGGCTGGTATACAAAAATGCTCTCCTTCAGTAAAATGCATCATTTATTGCACTGCACTAAGCTACAATATTTTGTTCATAGGAGACATGCAATTGCCTTTATCTTTTTCTATTTTTTTTGTCAAAGCAAATCAGAGATTAGCTATTTACGTAATCAAATCTTTTAAGTAACCCATGCTTGATTGATACATAGTACACCCACAAAATCCAATGAAATTGGAGCATTTCAGGTTAAGATGCTATTGACATCTTTGTGATTTTCTATATGAGATCTTGTATCTATTCTCTCCACTCAAGGCTTGGCTAGATGAAACCCTATAACCTACTGTCAAAGTTTCCTTTGAAATAGAAATGAAGAAAACATAAGAGGATGCTGATCCATCCTCCCCAAATAATATGAATAATCCCAAAATGTATAGAACATGAAGTCTAATATACTTAAATAACAACTCCCAATAACAATATAAATGAAGCAAATGTGAAGTATAAAAGAATGTTTACTGAAATCAAAGTAGAAAGCATAATTGTCAAGGCAACGCTTTCTTGCCTCACTTACTTGCCTACCTATTTTCTACATGCCCCTATGAAACACTTATATATTCTTTGTTTTTTTATATTATAATAATTAAATAGATATTATTAACCTACCTAAAATATTTATTTTTGGGGGTTCATATACTAGTTTATTTTTATTATTTTCTTATTTATTAGTGTTCAATCAACACACATGATGGTATCTTGAACCCTCAAAGGCTTCAAAATCTGAATGAATAAGCAAGTAAGAACTTAAAATTCTGTCCACTACCCCCCCCCCTTTTCCTTTTCCTAGACCAAAATAGGAGCTCAACCCCAATATTTCCTGAACTTTCTTTTCCTTCTTTTTTTTTTTCTTCTCATAAATAAGTTGATTGTCTCTGTTTTTTTTTTAACATGTAGCTTACATTTTTCTATTAATTTTGTAGATAATTATCAATGAAAAATGGTTACTGGTTGACATGGAACCTAAGGAATTACCCAAGCATTCATGGTTTCCATGTAAAAAACTCCACCGCCCAGAAATAAGGTCCCCCCCAATCACCAAGTTTCTCTTTGGCGCCTTCAAAACTATGGTAGTAATGCCCATATTCTGGCGTGATAATCATGGATTTCACTTTCGCATCTAGAGTTTCTACTCCATCATCATTTCATGTTTTGTGACTCCATATTTGTTCCAAATTTCCAACTCCCTAGATTTCGACTATTCATCCTTCTAAAGTTGAAGGAGAAGGAAAAGATAGTAAGCTAGCATGTTATTAATGATGTAATTAGTAAGCAAAGATTCACCAAATCTAAGAGAAACTGAGAAAGGTGGATCATATTTGAGATTCAGATTTACTGTTCATGTACCCCAAGCCTTAATCAGACAAGTACCTTATTAAACAAAATAAATTATAACTAATCATATGGAAATGCATATCCAAATCAATGAGAAACTGGATTACTTATAAGTAAAGAAGCAAAAATCTAATTGTGTCTCGAAAATTCTGAACATGGAAGAGACAGGTGGCTGACACTCATTAAAAATAAACTTTAATTCCGCCAAATATAAAACGGATAGTTCCAGCAAATATAAAAGGCAGAAACATAAAAATTTTATTTATAACAGTGTATTGTATATGGCATAAATAATGCTAAAGAAACCAAGCAATAAAAAACGAGTTGTATATACCTAAGCCAAAAAAATAAATTAAAAAAAAAAAAAAAAACAACAACAACAACAAGTTCATCTAAAGAAAACTAGCCCAGTGCACGAGGCTCCCACCAATGCTGGGTCTGAGGAGGGGCAAATGTACATAGCCTTACCCCTGCACATACAGAGAGGCCGTTTCCAAATCTAAAGAAAACTAACAGGGAAAAAATAATAGATAAGAGAGCCTAAACTACCTGGCCTCCCAGGTAGAATCTAAAGTTCACCGCTAGAAAACTTAATAACCTAAAAGAAATAAAAGGGAATAAAAATTGTTGCTAGTTCATTTTAGTTGTAGACTTGTAGTTCTATTTCTTAACACAAAAGCTTTATAGATCGAAAAAAAAAATTTAATGCAGTATCTGAAACAGTAAAAAACAAAAAGGAAAATAAACTAATAAACGGAGAAAAACTTAAAAAGAAAGGACCCACATGCAGACGAAAATAAATAAACCCATTAATGTTTCAACTTGGGAACAAACAAATAAAGAAGGGACCACTGTGAAAACTGAAAGGCAATGACAATCTCTGTAAACTCTTCCAGTCCAACATGCAAATAAATAAATAAGACCTGAACCACAGCATGGTACGTCAAACAGCAAAACAATCCACAGAGAACTACTACTAATGAGGGAGCAAAACAAAAAAGATCCATTTCAACAAAATAAAATTAAATTAAAAAATAAAAACCAAACTACAGTAGAACATGGATATGAGTGCATGCAATTTACTAGTAGYGAAAGATCAATTATCTAAAGCATATGGATCTAATCAAATAAATAAAAAGAAGAATCCAGTAGAGACTAAGCAGTAAAATGAAAATGGTGTTTGCATATAAAATGAAAGAAAGTAGGGTTTAAAAAAAAATTACCCGCAGAAGATGGTGGTTCTCTCCTGGTCTCCGCGTTGTTGTCTTTTTATCTATCCTATTTAATATACCATCTTCTCTTTTATCTATTTTGGAAGCTGGGAACAGCAAATTTTCGGGAGGAGCAGCCATGAACAGAAATCAGTAATGAATTATTGTTCGTTCCCACGGGAATTTTTATTGGCTTTCTTTTTGAACCAAACCCTACGTACAGTTAGACCTGTAGGCTTTATTTCTTTAAAAAAGAAAAAGAACAGGTCCAAGCCCAAGCCCGGCCTGAGCCTGGTCCGACCATCGGGTTAAATTTTGAGCCCGATCCCGATCTCGAAGCCCGACCTGTACATATATTTTATAATATATTGTTATACGATACTTCTTCTGATATTATATACTATTATAGAATATTATATAATACGTCTTGTGCTATTAATATTATTATTACATAATATTATATAACGTATATTATATTTTTATTATATAAACACTATTATCAAGTTGGACTTAGGCTTGGACCAAACTTATTTGGAAAAGTCTGAATCTAGCCTGGAAAATAGTCGAGCCCGATATTTAAAGCCTGCATACTTAAAGGTTTGTCCAAACCTGTCGTAGAACGGGCTAGGCTGAACCATTCCGTGAGGCTATCCAACCTATGAACCCTCTTTTTTTTTTTTTTTGTATTTGGTGTTGCACACCACTAATACTCGTAGGACACTACAGTTGTACACTAGGAATGTCTCTTGATTGAGATATATTCCCAATGTACAACTACAGTTTTCCTGTTCAGTGGGTAGGTGTGGGTAGAAGATCTGAACCCATGATTTAAAATTCAAGGTTCCTTGCAAAAATATTGAAACCTCCCATTTTTATTGGACTAAAACCTCGCCTGTGGTTAATTATTTATATATACTCTCTATCTTTAAGAAAGGGCAATTTGTAAATTAATACCATGTACTTTTAGCCTAGTCTCAGTTTGGTACTTGAATTTCAAAACGTGCTAATTCATCACTTGAACTCCCAAAATGTTTCAATTTAATCCTAGTTGCTAGCAGTTCGTCAATGGATTTGGGCATTTGGATAGTTGATAAAGAAAATTAGATGACATTCAAAGGGCATTTGTGCCTTTTAGCATGCCACTCAAATGATAATTAATAAAATTGGATTAAAACTGAGACGTTTTGAGAGTTCATGTGCTAAATTGACACATTTTGAAATTCGGGTACCAAAGTGAGACTATGCCCAGATTACATGGTACTAATAAGCAATTTACCCTTTAAAAAACCACTTATTTATCATAAACTTCCAAAACCTATTTATACATGTCTTGTTTACAAGCCTCACATAACACAAATAAAACCACCATTAATTTATTGTAAAGGGTTGCTAGTAGCTTACTTCATGGTTTTCAAAATCGGACCAGACCGAAAAAACAAGTGATCGGTTCCATTTTACCCTAGAAATGTTATTTCCCCCAAAATCGTTGATTTATCAACAAACCACTGATCTGGGCGGTCGAACCATTCAACAGTTTGACCTTTTTTTTTTATTTTGTTGTCAAAACGGGCCATCCATTACATTCGAACAATCGGACCATTCAACCTAAAAACTGGACCCCTAATCGGTTCATTGTCTGAATCGATTTTAAAAACATTGACTTACTTCGAACTCTCTTATGAAATCAATATTGCGCATAGGTTATATGGCTAAAATCCAAAGCCCCAAAATTTTCAATTTTAGCTCTAGCCGATGTTTCAATTTCAATCATGGTGGTCTTCTACTCGTCTTTATTTGTTTATCACTGTCGCCATTTTGCTTTGCATCTGTCTCTAGATTACAAAGCAGAAAAAAGTTAGGCATCAACAAAAGGAGAAAAACCTCAAATTTACTCTACTGATGAATCCAAGTGTCTTTGGTAAGCCAAAACCCCAGAACAACCTGAAGCCAATAAGCCAAAACTCCAGAACAACGAAACAATAGATCAGTTGCAAAAGAACGCGGTGGGCGTAAATTGGGTAGGCTGAAGGTTCTCAATTCATACTCGATCAATGAATGAGGTATGGACATGTGAATTGTGTGACGTTGCTTTGGTTTTTTACTTCCCCCCCTAGCTTGTAATGCCCATCTCCTCGTTTCTCCTTGCAGGGTTCGACATACAAATATTATGAGATCATCTTGGGTTTTTTTTTTTTAATTTTTTGGTAAACAGAGAATTATATTAAAAATCATCTTGGTTGATGCTGCCCAAGTGCCCATAATGCCATCTGCAATGACCCTAGGATCAAACGGACCTGCAAGCCTGTTCATAAACACAAGGAGCTCCAGATTGGTTTTTGCAGCGTATGAAGAAGAAAAAAGATTAAAGAAAAAAAAAAGAAAATGACGTATTTTAAAAATTGAATGAGTAATTAATAATATTTTTGTCTTTTATATTTTATATCCGTATAATTTTGCTAAATATACATGATATATATATATATAAAAGTAATTAATCATCTGACAAAATTGTTAAAAGTATATTTTATTTCAAAACATAAGAATTCAATGACGATTTGACAGTGTTAAAAAGGGTCACGTTGCTGAAGTTTAAGGTCTTCACTCTTCCACACTAGTGAAACCATGTGGTTATTGTTGTGAAAATCTGCAAAACGCAACCTAAATCCACTCACTCACTCACTCACTCACCTACCTCTACCGTCTCTCATTTTCATCTGATCAATTTTTGCTATTTTGCCGTTCTCCTTCATTAATGGTCCACCYTCTAACATATGAGTTCAGATCTATGCCCCACACAATCGGAAGGCGTCAAGTATCCTCTCGCACGATTTCCTCCCTCAGCGTGTATGGAGCTAACGGGACGGCTGTTAGCTCCAAATTCCCACTACCCTCGACTCTCGACCTAGCCTGCTCTAACCTTAACAGTTGCACTCCTCCATCTGAGCTAATGACAAGAACTCCAACGATGAAAACCGTTCCGGTAGATACACCGGAGGTATTCCCTGTTTCTTTGTCAGTAGTCTCCACTTCTCTCACCAACCTTGTATTCATCAGTCCCTCTTTTTCTTCTTTTGCTCTGAAGAGGAACTTTTCATTTTCAATGGCCACGCACAACGGGACCAATAAGCTGAAGATGTCGAACTATCTTTGGTATGTTGAATCCTTGGCGGTTCTACCATCCAATGCCAGGAAGATCTCGCATTCGCAAGCTGTAATCCTTGGGGAAGCGCTTGCTTGGGAGGGGAATGATCTGGTGTTTCCTAGCGAGAGTTCCCTCGCCAGGCTCTGGTTCCATCGCCAATGAAGGTGAAAGTCAATTGATCTACACAAGTGGACGTATTTAGATCATTGTACATCAGTATTACTTGAATATGGGCAT